GGCTGGCAGGTGGACGGGGGTCAGCCCTGGGCTCCTGGTGGTGGCTTCAGGCAGTGTTGGGGCTGGATGGGGCCAGAGAGTGCTACAGCGTTGGGCTAGGCAGCAGGCAGTCCCCGCACTGTAGCACCCCTGTGACCCAGCCAGCCCATCATAATCTATACATGTATTTGACTGCATGTAATTACTCCATCATAGGATAGTACTGTCCCCAACAATACTAGTCTACGATGGAGTTAATTAATTTACTGTGTCCTAATTGCGTCGCACATGTAGACTGTGATGCTTTACTGCGGAGCTAATTAGTCAACTGCAGTAAACTGCAAGTGTAGATGTGGCCTCTGTAAGCTAAAACAGGCTTCAAGTCAGATTTCAAGGGATGCTGCTGTATTAGTTATGTATACCAACCCGTTACTAACAACACTTTTGGTTGTTACATCTGAAAGTATTTTAAAATCTAAATTACAATTTGCTAGTCATGATTGTTTGCATCCTGCATTTCACTTAGCCTGGGCACTGAAACTAAGCTGGCCCGGTTTCTCTTTTAAAATAATCACTTCATTCCTTTATTGCCAGCTTCTCATGCCCTTGCCAGGTGCTGCAATATTAGGTTTGCAAATGCAGTAGGGAAAAGTTTATGACTAAAATAACTCAATCCTAAAGTCTTTGGGATGGGAAATGTCTTTATTTTTGGTTTATGTACAGGCAGACATCAGGAAAAGAAATGTAAACCATTTCTAGGAGCTTTAAATATTGTAACCTGGAGTCCCCCCACAAACCTGAAGTCCCAATTTACCTACTAGTGTTCATTAAATACAGTTATTTTATGACTCTAAATAAGGACTAAGGCTGAAGATTGTTCAAAAGCAGTGCTGTCCAAATAAGACTTCATGGGCTGCATGTGGCTGGTGAGGTGTTAATTTGCAGTCCCTGGGCTCCCACCCAGTTGTTGCTCTCCCCATTGCCACTGCTGTGGTTGCAGCAGCAGCTGTGGTCTCTGGGTTCCTCCTCCCTTCTCTGGCTTCCAACTTCTGCCCCACTCCAGGGCAGAGTGGGGTGGGGTGGTGCAGCCCACGTTGTCAGGGTAGCCCACATTCTGGGGTACCTCTGCAGTGCAGTGCAGCAGGGGAGCCTGTGGCCAAGGAGTTGAGGGTGAAGCTGGGGTTCTTGCAGACATGGTGCAACAGTGGCGTGGCCTGTGTGGCATGCAGCCCCCTACCTCATAGAAGTTGCACAGCCCTGTTTTATGCTCTGAAGAGTTTCTCGTGCAGGATAAGTTAAGAGCATTATGTCATCGCACCATTATGAAATGTCATAAGCTACCATAACAAAGACAGTTGTTGTGGTGATAATTATACAACACAGAGACCAGTGACATTCCAGTAGCATAAAATATATTTTAGAATAAGTTCACAGTGCCTCAGTAAGCAGATGACAGCATTTAAATTAAAAAAATATTTTAAAATAATTGGAATGGAACAAGTACGTCCTATGATGTAATTTCAAAGAGGCCCTTTGGTTGTACAATAAATAGATATTCATTCATTTAATCCAGTGATTTCCTGTGACTTTATAAAAGACTAACCTAAATTTTACTTATTTACTTAATTTTTCTTTCCTTGTAATTTATCCAAGTTCTCTAAATCTCCATAAAGAAAATCCATGTAATACTTATACTTCATGGACCAATTTCTGCTTTGATGTTAGCGGGCAAAACCCTGTTGACTTCAGCACCGTTTCCCCTGCCACCCCTGGAAACAGTTTATTTTCAAAACAAATATATTGATAGCTTCGGGTTTTTTTAATGAGGAACTTATGAATGGGAATAAAGACTGACCAACCCTACAGTAACAAGCTAGGCTGCCTCTAGGGGAGCCTGGCCATAATGAAACTGGTTTTAGTCTTTCTTCCTTTCTGTGAGAGGCAGGTTGCAATCCTTGCAAAGTGCTTTGGAAGCCATTTAACTAAACAGTTAGAGAATGGCTCACTCCTTTCTGTGGGCAAGCTGGGGAGGGAGGACTACCCCAGGAGCTTTCACCAAACCATTCCCCTAAGGGGGAGAGATTGCATGAAAAGCTACTAGTTCTATTGCCAGGAAAACCCCAGGAGCATCCTTGAGAAGAGCCTGGGCCTCTGTACTGAGGCATGCCCTCGTTCCTAGAATCCCTATTCCCTCATTGGAATTACGCCTTCCATGGTTTAGGTGTCTCCTGGCATCCTCCTCATGGGGATTTTCCTCTGCACCAAGAGACTGTATCAGAGTTAAAGCAGCCCTGAAAGCAATACAGGGCTTGCACAGGTATTGCACAGGAATGAACTCCACTGGTTCAATCACCTTTATGCTGGTATAACTGTCACACTAACCAGGAAATCTGAGCATACTTACTGGTGCATGCCCAGCTGCACTCAAGTTGTAGCTAAGTCATGTATTTTTGTGCAGGGTGGGGGAGCAAGTGGATGGGGCACGCTTTACAGCAGTGCTCCTCAGCCCAGTTAGAAGTAGTGTCAGAATGTCCTCAGACAGCTTGATTTTCCTCTTGCACATAAGAGGAAAAGCGTGCATTTTGCACTCATTTGGCCTCCACCCCTTACAAGGTGTCAGGCAAAGAAGAGTCAGCTTTTTGCACAAGGAGCTCAAGTTTTCTATAAATTCTAGCTTTCAGCTTTCCATTGGGGGAGACGTAAATCGTAATTTTTTAAATGATCTTTTTTTGATATGCTAACTTTGAGCCTGTCATTCCTAAGTATTCTCTGGAAAATATCAGTTCTGTTTGCTAGTTGAAAACACTTATTCAATTAAAAAAAATATCAGCAACTATAATTAAGGGGAGGAAAATCCCACTCCAGCAAAGGAACCATTATTAATGTAATATTTTTTATAATTCCTGGGGCACTGTTCACATACAGTTGCCTTTGTATGGGCTGTTTATGCGTCATGTCCTTCTCTGGAGCTCCATTGAGAAGTGAGTGTTAGGTTAATAATAACAATAGTAGTAAACAGTACCATGTTTTTCATGTGAGCCTCTGAAAGCATTAACTGATCCTCATAATATCCTTTGAGGTCTGTATATATTATTACCCTGTTACAGTGTGGTACAGAGATGGAGAGATCTGCCCAAGGTCACACAGCAAGTCAATATTAGAGCCTTGATTAGAAACTCCAGGCCCCAATTCCCAGCTCTGCAGGACTATGTGTCTCCCACATCTGTTTTATCCTCATCCTTTTCCAGACCCTACAGTAAGAGAGTAGAGGAACAGTGTGTCAGGGACCTGCAAACTGAGCATATTCATAAGGCCAGACAAAGCTTGAAGGTTTCATTTTTGGCCTGAAGGTGTAGACTGAGTTTACCCTTCCAGTGCTTAAGGAGAAACACGTCCTAAACGTGGTTGTCCTTTAAAAGGACCGTGTCACAATATTAAACGATAATAACATGCAGCTTCCTGGAAAGCTCTCCTGAGCTGTATGTAGGTCTGACCTCTGATCTGAGCAATGGATCTGTTCCATAGCCAGCAACAAGAATCCTATTCGTTTTACTGAGTGAACCCAAAAGCAAACAGGTATGTATACAGGGCAGGACGGTGTGGTCCCAGGCCGTGTGCATACAGGACAGGACGGTGTGGTCCCAGTACTGTCCAGCTGCTCTTGCGCACACAGTCTGGCTGAACATTGCAGGCTTAGACCTGTCTTTCCATAAACTGGCATGACACCGCTGGGTTACAGAGGAAGGCTCTTGCTTTAGTTTCCCATCTCTGTAATTTAAGTTCAGTCACTGGGCGCCTGGCTCCTTGCCAAAGGCCAGTGCTCCTCTGTACACAGCCCTGGCAAGGGGAGACCAAATGAAATAGCAGCTGCTGCCGGAGTCACTTGGGCGGGCTGCCCTGAGTGCACAGCGTGAACTTTTGAGGCTCTATTTGGGTTTTAGACCTATTTTGCAATTGACTGCAAGGCTTTTGTGCAGTCTCTTTTATTGCACCGACTGCCAGTGCTGTAGGAGGGCGGGGTGAGCGGGGCAGCTGCCCTGGGCCCTTTAGCAGAGGGGTGCCAAGAGGTGCTGCCCAGCTGGGGCAGGGCACGGGACGGAGTCCCGAGCAGCAGACCAGGCAGGGGATGGGGACGGGAGTGGCACTTGAAGGGGAAGGGGATGGGAGCACCAGCCAAAAAAGCTTGACCTCCACCACCCTGTGTCCTGCTGCCCCCTTCCCCGAGAAAAACGTTGCTTGTTTCTTCCTTTCTTTTGAATGTCACAAGCTGGGGTGTGTGGCTGGGCTGTGGCAAGGAGAGGGTTAATGCCCCCAGGGGTGGGGGGGTGGCTGGGCTGTGGCAGGAAGAGGGTTAATGCCCCCAGGGTTGGGGGGTGGTGGTGCTTGGG